AGATCACCTGTGTGTGTAGTTGTGATAGTCACCTGTGTGTGTGTGATAGTCACCTGTGTGTGTGTGATAGTCACCTGTGTGTGTGTGATAGTCACCTGTGTGTGTGTGTGATAGTCACCTGTGTGTGTGTGTGATAGTCACCTGTGTGTGTGTGATAGTCACCTGTTTGTGTGTGTAGTGTGATAGTCACCTGTGTGTGTGTCTGGTGTGATAGTCACCTGTGTGTGTGATAGTCACCTGTGTGTGTGGTGTGTGATAGTCACCTGTGTGTGTGTGTGCTGTGATTGTCATCTGTGTGTGTGTAGTGTGATAGTCACCTGTGTGTGTGTGTGTGTGATAGTCACCTGTGTGTGTGTCTGGTGTGATAGTCACCTGTGTGTGTGTGTCTGGTGTGATAGTCACCTGTGTGTGGTGTGATAGTCACCTGTGTGTGTGTGGTGTGATAGTCACCTGTGTGTGTGTAGTGTGATAGTGTGTGTGTAGTGTGATAGTCCACCTGCGTGTTGTGTAGTGTGATAGTCACCTGTGTGTGTGTGTGTGATAGTCACCTGTGTGTGTGTAGTGTGATAGTCACCTGTGTGTGTGTGATAGTCACCTGTGTGTGTGTGTGTGATAGTCACCTGTGTGTGTAGTGTGATAGTCACCTGTGTGTGTGTAGTGTGATAGTCACCTGTGTGTTTGATAGTCACCTGTGTGTGTGTGATAGTCACCTGTGTGTGTAGTGTGATAGTCACCTGTGTGTGTGATAGTCACCTGTGTGTGTGTGATAGTCACCTGTGTGTGTGATAGTCACCTGTGTGTGTGTAGTGTGATAGTCACCTGCGTGTGTGTGTGATAGTCACCTGCGTGTGTGTGGTGTGATAGTCACCTGTGTGTGTGTGTGATAGTCACCTGTGTGTGTGATAGTCACCTGTGTGTGTGTGTGATAGTCACCTGTGTGTGTGTGTGTGATAGTCACCTGTGTGTGTGGTGTGTGTAGTGTTTGATAGTCACCTGTGTGTGTGTGTGTGATAGTCACCTGTGTGTAGTGTGATAGTCACCTGTGTGTGTGTGTGTGGTGTGATAGTCACCTGTCTGTGTGTGATAGTCACCTGCGTGTGTGTGTGATAGTCACATGTGTGTGTGTGTGATAGTCACCTGTGTGTGTGTGGTGTGATAGTCACGTGTGTGTGTGTGTGTGTAGTGTGATAGTCACCTGTGTGTGTAGTGTGATAGTCACCTGTGTGTGTAGTGTGATAGTCACCTGTGTGTGTGGTGTGATAGTCACCTGCGTGTGTGTGTGTGTGATAGTCACCTGTGTGTGTGTATGATAGTCACCTGTGTGTGTGTAGTGTGATAGTCACCTGTGTGTGTGTATGTGATAGTCACCTGCGTGTGTGTGGTGTGATAGTCACCTGTGTGTGTGTGATAGTCACCTGTGTGTGTGATAGTCGCCTGTGTGTGTGTGATAGTCACCTGTTTGTGTGTGTAGTGTGATAGTCACCTGTGTGTGTGTCTGGTGTGATAGTCACCTGTGTGTGTGTGAGATAGTCACCTGTGTGTGTGGTGTGTGATAGTCACCTGTGTGTGTGTAGTGTGATAGTCACCTGTGTGTGTGTGTGTGATAGTCACCTGTGTGTGTGTGTATGGTGTGATAGTCACCTGTGTGTGGTGTGATAGTCACCTGTGTGTGTGTGTGATAGTCACCTGTGTGTGTGTAGTGTGATAGTCACCTGTGTGTGTGTAGTGTGATAGTCACCTGTGTGTGTGTAGTTTGATAGTCACCTGTGTGTGTGTGATAGTCACCTGTGTGTGTAGTGTGATCGTCACCTGTGTGTGTAGTGTGATAGTCACGTGTGTGTGTGTGTGCTATGATAGTCACCTCTGTGTGTGTGTGTGATAGTCACCTGTGTGTGTGTGTGTGCTGTGATAGTCATCTGTGTGTGTGTGTGTGTGATAGTCACCTGTGTGTGTGTGTGTGATAGTCACCTGTGTGTGTAGTGTGATAGTCACCTGTGTGTGTGTGATAGTCACCTGTGTGTGTGTGTGATAGTCACCTGTGTGTGTGTGATAGTCACCTGTGTGTGTGTGTGTGATAGTCACCTGTGTGTGTGTGTGATAGTCACCTGTGTGTGTGTGATAGTCACCTGTTTGTGTGTGTAGTGTGATAGTCACCTGTGTGTGTGTCTGGTGTGATAGTCACCTGTGTGTGTGATAGTCACCTGTGTGTGTGGTGTGTGATAGTCACCTGTGTGTGTGTGTGCTGTGATTGTCATCTGTGTGTGTGTAGTGTGATAGTCACCTGTGTGTGTGTGTGTGATAGTCACCTGTGTGTGTGTCTGGTGTGATAGTCACCTGTGTGTGGTGTGATAGTCACCTATGTGTGTGGTGTGATAGTCACCTGTGTGTGTGTGTAGTGTGATAGTCACCTGTGTGTGTGTGTAGTGTGATAGTCACCTGTGTGTGTGTGTGATAGTCACCTGTGTGTGTGTGATAGTCACCTGTGTGTGTGTGATAGTCACCTGTGTGTGTGTGATAGTCACCTGTGTGTGTGTGTGTGTGTAGTGTGATAGTCACGTGTGTGTGTGTGCTATGATAGTCACCTCTGTGTGTGTGTGTGATAGTCACCTGTGTGTGTGTAGTGTGATAGTCACCTGTGTGTGTGTGTGATAGTCACCTGTGTGTGTGTGTCTGGTGTGATAGTCACCTGTGTGTGGTGTGATAGTCACCTGTGTGTGTGTAGTGTGATAGTGTGTGTGTAGTGTGATAGTCACCTGCGTGTGTGTAGTGTGATAGTCACCTGTGTGTGTGTGTGTGATAGTCACCTGTGTGTGTGTAGTGTGATAGTCACCTGTGTGTGTGTGATAGTCACCTGTGTGTGTAGTGTGATAGTCACCTGTGTGTGTAGTGTGATAGTCACCTGTGTGTGTAGTGTGATAGTCACCTGTGTGTGTGATAGTCACCTGTGTGTGTGTGATAGTCACCTGTGTGTGTAGTGTGATAGTCACCTGTGTGTGTGATAGTCACCTGTGTGTGTGTGATAGTCACCTGTGTGTGTGTGATAGTCACCTGTGTGTGTGATAGTCACCTGTGTGTGTGTAGTGTGATAGTCACCTGCGTGTGTGTGTGATAGTCACCTGCGTGTGTGTGGTGTGATAGTCACCTGTGTGTGTGTGTGATAGTCACCTGTGTGTGTGATAGTCACCTGTGTGTGTGTGTGTGATAGTCACCTGTGTGTGTGGTGTGTGTAGTGTTTGATAGTCACCTGTGTGTGTGTGTGTGATAGTCACCTGTGTGTAGTGTGATAGTCACCTGTGTGTGTGGTGTGATAGTCACCTGTGTGTGTGTGATAGTCACCTGCGTGTGTGTGTGATAGTCACATGTGTGTGTGTGATAGTCACCTGTGTGTGTGTGGTGTGATAGTCACGTGTGTGTGTGTGTAGTGTGATAGTCACCTGTGTGTGTAGTGTGATAGTCACCTGTGTGTGTAGTGTGATAGTCACCTGTGTGTGTGGTGTGATAGTCACCTGCGTGTGTGTGTGTGATAGTCACCTGTGTGTGTGTATGATAGTCACCTGTGTGTGTGTAGTGTGATAGTCACCTGCGTGTGTGTGGTGTGATAGTCACCTGTGTGTGTGTGATAGTCACCTGTGTGTGTGTGTGATAGTCACCTGTGTGTGTGTGATAGTCACCTGTTTGTGTGTGTAGTGTGATATTCACCTGTGTGTGTGTCTGGTGTGATAGTCACCTGTGTGTGTGTGATAGTCACCTGTGTGTGTGGTGTGTGATAGTCACCTGTGTGTGTGTAGTGTGATAGTCACCTGTGTGTGTGTGATAGTCACCTGTGTGTGTGTGTATGGTGTGATAGTCACCTGTGTGTGGTGTGATAGTCACCTGTGTGTGTGGTGTGATAGTCACCTGTGTGTGTGTAGTGTGATAGTCACCTGTGTGTGTGTAGTGTGATAGTCACCTGTGTGTGTGTAGTGTGATAGTCACCTGTGTGTGTGTGATAGTCACCTGTGTGTGTAGTGTGATCGTCACCTGTGTGTGTAGTGTGATAGTCACGTGTGTGTGTGTGTGCTATGATAGTCACCTCTGTGTGTGTGTGTGATAGTCACCTGTGTGTGTGTGTGCTGTGATAGTCATCTGTGTGTGTGTGTGATAGTCACCTGTGTGTGTGTGTGTGGTGTGATAGTCACCTGTGTGTGGTGTGATAGTCACCTGTGTGTGTGTAGTGTGATAGTCACCTGTGTGTGTGTGTGATAGTCACCTGTGTGTGTGTGCCTGGTGTGATAGTCACCTGTGTGTGGTGTGATAGTCACCTGTGTGTTTGGTGTGATAGTCACCTGTGTGTGTGTGTAGTGTGATAGTCACCTGTGTGTGTGTAGTGTGATAGTCACCTGTGTGTGTGTGTGATAGTCACCTGTGTGTGTGTAGTGTGATAGTCACCTGTGTGTGTGTGATAGTCACCTGTGTGTGTAGTGTGATAGTCACCTGTGTGTGTGTGATAGTCACCTGTGTGTGTGGTGTGATAGTCACCTGTGTGTGTGATAGTCACCTGTGTGTGTGTGTGATAGTCACCTGTGTGTGTGGTGTGATAGTCACCTGTGTGTGTGTGTGTGTGATAGTCACCTGTGTGTGTAGTGTGATAGTCACCTGTGTGTGATAGTCACCTGTGTGTGTGTGATAGTCACCTGTATGTGTGATAGTCACCTGTGTGTGTAGTGTGATAGTCACCTGTGTGTGTGATAGTCACCTGCGTGTGTGTGGTGTGATAGTCACCTGTGTGTGTGTGTGATAGTCACCTGTGTGTGTGTGTGATAGTCACCTGTGTGTGTGTGTGTGATAGTCACCTGTGTGTGTAGTGTGATAGTCACCTGTGTGTGTGTGATCGTCACCTGTGTGTGTGTAGTGTGATAGTCACCTGTGTGTGTGTAGTATGATAGTCACCTGTGTGTGTGATAGTCACCTCTGTGTGTAGTGTGATAGTCACCTGCGCGTGTATGCGTGTGGTGTTGCAGGTCTTTTATCTGCCAATGGCCCTGTTCATTCCACCACCAATCTTCATCGTTCACATCCAGTTGAACCTCCTCTACCAGTTTTGGATCCACACGGAGGTACCCCAAGCCCATCCTTCCACGGCCAGTGGCTGCGGAGCAGCAGCGCTGCATCCCACACTGTTTACAGATTTTAAATCTGGGCTGGTGACGCGTCGACGCCGCTCGACTCTCGACGCCGGCCGGACGCGTCACGAGCATCCTCAGATCAGCGGGGAACGGAGGGGGGGGGGGGGTGGGTAGCCAGCCGGACGGTGAGCCGGTGCCGAATTTCTACTCCAAGCTCTGTCGTTCCTCTAGCTATGAAACTATGGAACTCTCGAATCAAAAGGCCTCCTCTCGCTGTCTGTGTTGGCTGAGCGCTTTCGAGCAGTCCTGAGCCTGGCACCGCGCCTCTGAGTTGTTCACTTGTCTGCAAAAAAAATCTGCCCCGTGATAAATGAATATTATCACTGGGGGGGCGGGGGGGGTGGCACGTGCCCCCTCAATGATCCGACCAAAATCCCTAATTTCGATCGGATCATTGGGGTTTATTAGTAATAAATCGGTTATTTTGCGACCCCCACTGCCACTGTGTAGCGTATTATTACGTGCCAAGGACTCTATGAGATGATAGGACAATAGTCTGAGTCCATAATTGTCAATAAGTGACGGCAAAGCGGTTATAAGTGACTCACAGAATTGTGCGCAGTTGCGTCTACAGCAGGACACGACTTCCCTGAAGGCATCGACACCTTCAGCGAGCACGATGCCGATCACTAACAACGCGGTTCGAATTCGACCCTCGATCGATGTCTGTGCCATCAAGTACTTACTAACAACTCCTTACTTACTAACAAGTACTTACTTACTAACTCTTTACTAACAACTACTTACTAACAACTCCTTACTTACTAACAACTCCTTACTAACAACGCCTTACTAACAACGCCTTACTTACTAACAACTCATTACTTACTAACAAGTACTTACTTACTGACAAGTATTTACTAACAAGTACTTACTTACTAACAACTCCTTACTCACTAACAACTCCTTACTAACAACTCCTTACTTACTAACAGCTCATTACCAACAAGTACTTACTTACTAACAACTCCTTACTTACAACTCCTTACTTACAACTCCCTACTTACTAACAACTTCTTACTCTCTAACAAGTCCTTACTTACAACTCCTTACAAACAACACCTTACTTACTGACATCTCCTTACTAACAACTTATTACTTACTAACAACTACTCTGTCATTTTTCATTTCTGGAGGGGTTGCCCCCCCCACCTGAACACCTGAAAATCCTGGCTCCGTCATTGTCTATTATTGTTCTTCGTCTTTTTCTTTGGCCGATTGAATTCGAAGGGCGACGAAACCCCGGGCGCCCGGGATCTTTCGCACCCCTCGTGAGCGCGACGGACGACGCGGAAGCGTTTTACGGTTTCATGCCACGGCACCGCAGTGTTAAACCGGGGCGGCCCGCTGGATTCGAACCGCACAAAAAAAAAACACCCCCTCCGTGACGACAGCCGGCCCGACGCGCTGACCCCGCAGGGGTCAACCGCGGCGCCGCGTGCAGCTCCAACGTCCCCGTCGCGAGGCGGACAAGAATCGCGTCGCTGGAACCCCACCCCACCCCCGCCGGCGGGGACGCGGAGCGTGGGGGTCGGTCGCCGCGCGAACTCACGCGCGGGACGTTACCGTTGCAGATGATCACTTCCCTGGGACCTCTCGAGCACGTCCTGAACACCCCGAGCCACCACCGGGTCCACCACGGTGAGCCCGCCGCGTCTGCGGCGCGAGCGGGCGGGCGGTGACGCGCGTCCCGCTCGTGTCAGACGTTTCACATCACGCCACACGGCCTTCCTTTCTGGGAGTGCATTGGTTCGACGTGAGCAGCAGCAACAAAACAACAACAACAACAAAACAACAAAACAACAACAAAACAACAACCCCGGGGGCTGGTTTCGGCAGTCGATGCCTCGTCGGCGGAACGAGACACGCTCGTGTGATTGGCCACGTTGGAGGTTGGCCCCACAAATTGATTGGTGGGTCAAAGACAACCGCAGTTCGAACCTCACTCAAAGGGTTCGGGTACACGCCCAGCGAGATGCAGCGTCTCTCGCCGTTGTTGTTGTTGTTGTCGTCGTTGTCATTGGTGTGGTTGTTGTTGTTGTTGTTGTCTTACCACGCGTGTCGTGATCGTGCCCTAGGCCGCAATCCGTACTGCATCGACAAGAACTACGGTGGCACGCTGATCATCTGGGATCGCTTGTTCGGTAACTCGCTCCCCTCCAAGGCACCCACGCACGCTCCTACACACACACAAGCACGCTCCTACACACACACACACGCACGCTCCTACACACACACACGCACACACACGCACGCTCCTACACACACACACGCACGCTCCTACACACACACACGCACGCTCCTACACACGCACACACGCACACACGCATGCTCCTACACTCGCACGCCCCTACGCACGCACGCTCCTACACACACACGCTCCTACACACACACACAAGCACGCTCATACACTCACACACAAGCACGCTCCTACACACGCACGCTCCTACACACGCACGCTCCTACACACACACAAGCACGCTCCTACACACACACACAAGCACGCTCCTACACACGCACGCTCCTACACACGCACACACGCACACATGCACGCACGCCCCTACGCACGCACGCTCCTACACACGCACGCTCCTACACACACGCACGCTCCTACACACGCACGCTCCCACACACACACACGCACGCTCCTACACACACACACAAGCACGCTCCTACACACACACACGCATGCTCCTACACACGCACACACGCATGCTCCTACACACGCACGCACGCGCTACACAAGCACGCTCCTACACACACACGCATGCTCCTACACATGCACGCTCCTACACACACACACTCCTACACACGCACACACGCCCCTACGCACGCACGCTCCTACACACACACACACGCCCCGACACACGCACACACGCACGCTCCTACACACGCACGCCCCTACACATGCACACATGCACGCTCCTCCACATGCACGCACACACGCACGCATGCCCCTACGCATGTTCCTACATACGCACACACACACGTTCTTACACACACACACCCGTACGCTTCTACACTCGCACGCACGCTCCTACGCATGCTCCTACGCATGCATGCTCCTACGAACACACACCCGCACCCACGCCAAAGTCGGCGCAGGCCAGCGGTGGCGCGTCCGGTTACCGCTTGCGGCAGAGGCTCGCGGTTTCGACTCCAGTGGCCGCCCTGGTTAATCCTGCTGTGCGGTATTAACCATAGATATACCACGTGCCATCGTCCGCAAGAGCTGCCCATCGTGGCCTAAACTTTCCAGATTACGAAAAGGAATGGCCCCCTTAATTACTCAACCGGGATTACGCATCTCGGAATTACTGCCCCCCCCCCGAGCCTCCCTACCGGCGAAAATAATTCCCGCCTGCGGGCCCAGCTGGCGAAAGTCACTTTACACCGCACGGGGACAGCTGCCGCTGGGGGTTCTCCTCTTTGCGACGATGGCCCGGCGTGGAGGCGTGCGGGGGCCCCCTTCAAACAAAGGTGGCTCATTATCGTCGCTGTCTCTTGAAGGGACCTTCCAATGGGAGAGCGAGAAGGTCGTGTACGGACTCACTCACAACATCAACACCTTCAACCCCTGGGTGGTGCAGGTTAGTCATCGACCCTGCGTGTGAAGGTCACATTTGGAGTTTGCGTCTCTCTCTCTCTCTCTGTCTTCCCGCCGTGGTCCCGTTAATTTTTGCCCGGGCCCTCCGGTTTTTCCCCTCCACATTTAGAATCAACGTCACGCGCTTAGAGAGTATTCGGCTGCTGTAAATTTCCACGTGATGATGACGACAAGCCACTTCGTTGAGCAATCATTCGTGATAGCCAGGTCACTTCTGAAAAAGAGCTATACAGCTCAGTGGGGCTTTACCTAGTAAAGTAAAAAAATATATAGTTGAGTTCAAAGGCGCAGCCCTGCAATTGCTGGCTCCCGCTACCGCTGGCTGGCAGCAGGACTTCCTACACAAGACTGAGCGAGTTCAGAGAGCCACTCTCGAGGGTTTCTGGAACCGACTCTTCATACGCCGCCCAGATGCCGAGAGAGATTTAATGAGTTATCTTACGCTCGTTAATTCGCTCCTTGTGTTCTTATAGGATTTGATTTCGAGCCGATGTCTGACGCAACCGATTTTTTTCTTCGGGTCGTGAATTTGAAACGGGGGACCCCCCGTGAGCTTTTAGGGTCCCTACGTTTTTGCTTGGGTTCGCTTCTGCCTACCACCACCATCACCACCACCACACGTTGACTCGTCTTCTGCCAACGTTTCGGTTCTCAGTACGTCCACTTCCGGCACATCTGGCGCACATTGTAGACCACGCCAGGCTGGTGCCACCGCCTCTGGGTTGTGATCAAGGGCCCCGGTTGGGCCCCCGGGAAGCCCAGGCTGGGCTGCCTCGAAGACATCCCCAAGGTCTCTGTCTTCCGTCCCTCGTGACATCTGGCGTGGGGACCCCTGGCCGTGACCCCTGGTATAGCGACCCCTGACCGTGACCCCCTGGCATGGTGACCCCTGGCGATGACCCCCAGCATGGCGACCCCCGGCCGTGACCCCCCGGCGCGGCGACCCCTTGGCCGTGACCCCCCAGCGCGGCGACCCCTTGGCCGTGACCCCCCGGCGCGGCGACCCCTTGGCCGTGACCCCCCGGCGCGGCGACCCCTTGGCCATGACCCCCCGGCACAGCGACCCCCGGCCGTGACCCCCCGGTGCCGCGACCCCCGGCCGTCTTCAGGATCCTGAAGACGCTCGACGCAGGTTCAAGCGACGCGTCGCGGGCCTCGTGCAGCTCAGGCTGGTCGTGAGAATCGCTCTTCGACTCCACCGGCGGCTGGGCTGAAGCAAAAGCCGCGTGGCGCCACTCCGCGCGGCGGCTTTGATGGCTTGCGCGAGCCGGGTGGCGGAGGGTTGCGCCGCGGAAACGTGACCCGATTATTTCGTGGCCCAGCCGTTATATTGTTTTTTTTTTAGTTCTTTACACGGATCAGTGGCTCCGGAGTCTCGCGTTTGACCCAGACAACGAATCGGCATCCACATCTGGCGTGGCCGGAATTGATCTGTACAAGAGATCTGGTGCGGTATACGGGTCTTAGCTGCAGCCAACTGACCGGCGCCGACAGGGCCGAGAGGCTCACTGGGAGACGTCTCGGGTGGGGCCCTCGCTCGACAAAAAGTGAAGCGAAGCTCGACCGGCACGGAAACGGCGCCGTTACGGCTCGGTCGAATCCCCGGCACGGCGTGCGGCCGGGGAGGCCGGCTCCCATCCAGCGGCGGGTTGACGAAGGCGGGGGCGTGCGTGCGCCCGTGTGCAGATAACGGGGGGCGAGGCGCCGTACGACCCCGCGCATCCCGGGTGGGTGCAGGCCTACGTCGTGGCTCACTACGCGCTCGGCTTCGGCGTCTACGAGAAGCTCATGGCCGGCGGCGAGGTGAGGACGGGGCGGTAGGGCGCCTCGCCCCTCCCCCGGCGAGGGTGAGGGGCGACCGGAGCGCTCTGCGCGCTGCTCAGTGGATTTTAGATCCAACGGCCCCGTTCTCACGTGGCCACCTCCCCCCCACACACACCTCACCCCCCCCCCACACACCTCACCCCCTCCACCCCACACCCCCCCCCCACACACACCTCACCCCCCCCCCCACACGCCTCACCCCCCCCCCACACGCCTCACCCCCCCCACCCCACACCTCACCCCCCCCACCCCACACCTCACCCCCCCACACACACCTCACCCCCCCCCCCCACACACCCCGGATGTCGCCCTCTGCCCCCACAGGCGGCCACGCAGGCTGAAGTTCTCGCGCTCCTCACGTCCATCCTGCTGGCACTCAGCAGCTACAGCTTCATAATGGACAAGCGGTGAGCGTCCTCCCCCCCCCCCCCGTCTCGCCCCTGTTCCCCCCCAACCCCCCCCCCCCCACCCTGGTGCAAGATGCGATTTGGCGCTCGGCCGTGCCACCGTTCGATCCGTGGGCGGGGGGGGGGCGAGCGGAGAGGGTGGCAATGGGCACGGGCCCCCTCGCGATACAGCACTTGCCCTAGCAGCCCGTGTCAGCGACGCGGGGGCGGGGGGTGGTTGGTGGTCTGTGTCTTTGCCCGCGTGCGTCGCAGGCCGCACGCTGCCCCGGCGGAGGCTGCGCGCTGCGCGCTCCAGCTGGCCTGCCACCTGCTACAGCTCGTGGAACTGGGACTCGCCGCGCAGGTACCGGTCGTCCGCCGGCGGGGAGATCGTGCGGCCCGCGGCGTCGCCGTCGCCGCCCCCTCGCCGCGTGGCCCCCGGAGGTCACTTGGAGGAGGGGGGGTGGGGACCTCGAAGGCGGCTCTGCGAAGGCCACTTCCGCGGGCCCGTTCAGCCTGACGTTTTAGAATCTCGCCTCCCGTTTTGGCACGGTCGGCTACGCGCGTCGCGAAAGAAGTTCTGCGCGCACACATAGACCGCGCCTCCGGTTGGCACGGTTGTTTATGTACGGTGCAAAAGAAGTTCAACGTACTTACACACACAGAGAGCCCGGACGTGAATTTTCAACTCTTGGTGAAAAGGTTTCTGGGTCCTTCCCCCCCCTCCCCCCCCCCCCCCCGCCAGGTGGTGTTTGCATCCTCGATGGTGATTTGGAGCCTGAGAAGCCTGAGAGTGATTTAGCTTCCGTCGCCAGAATCTACAGCCAGCCGACGAGAAGCCGCAGCCGGATCCGTTGGGACGTCATCGAGGACAGAATGCGCCGGAGGGCGACGTGGCACGACCACAATGCCCCACGGTCCAGGTGGTCGCTCCCCCAGCTGACTTGATCACTACCCACAAGGCCCGGTCGTGCACGACGCCATCATCCCTCGCAGCCACCGCTTCTCAGCCTCTCTCTCCTCACTCACTCCACTCACTCACTCAACTTACTCCACTCACTCCACTCACTCAATCACTCACTCCACTCACTCACTCCACTCACTCACTCCACTCACTCACTCCACTCACTCACTCCACTCACTCACTCAACTTACTCCACTCACTCCGCTCACTCCACTCACTCACTCTCACTCACTCACACTCACTCACTCACTCCACTCACTCACTCAACTTACTCCACTCACTCCACTCACTCTCACTCACTCACTCCACTCACTCCACTCCACTCACTCAATCACTCACTCAATCACTCCACTCACTCACTCCACTCACTCACTCAACTTACTCCACTCACTCCACTCACTCAATCACTCACTCAATCACTCCACTCACTCACTCCACTCACTCACTCCACTCACTCCACTCACTCACTCAACTTACTCCACTCACTCACTCCACTCACTCTGCTCACTCCACTCACTCACTACACTCACTCACTCACCCCACTCACTCTACTCACTCTACTCACTCCACTCACTCAATCACTCACTCACTCCACTCACTCACTCCACTCACTCACTCCACTCACTCACTCCACTCACTCCGCTTACTCCACTCACTCACTACACTCACTCACTCACCCCACTCACTCTACTCACTCCACTCACTCCACTCACTCACTCACTCCACTCACTCCACTCACTCACTCACTCCACTCACTCACTCACTCCACTCACTCTACTCACTCACTTACTCCACTCACTCACTCCACTCACTCACTCCACTCACTCACTCCACTCACTAACTCCACTCACTCCACTCACTCACTAACTCCACTCACTCACTCACTCACCCCACTCACTCCACTCACTCACTCCACTCACTCTACTCACTCACTTACTCCACTCACTCACTCACTCCACTCACTAACTCCACTCACTCCACTCACTCACTAACTCCACTCACTCACTCACCCCACTCACTCACTCCACTCACTCACTCCACTCACTCACTCCACTCACTCTACTCACTCACTTACTCCACTCACTCACTCACTCCACTCACTCACTCCACTCACTAACTCCACTCACTCCACTCACTCACTAACTCCACTCACTCACTCACTCCACTCACTCCACTCACTCTACTCACTCACTTACTCCACTCACTCACTCACTCCACTCACTAACTCCACTCACTCACTCACTCCACTCACTCTACTCACTCACTTACTCCACTCACTCACTCCACTCACTCACTCCACTCACTCCACTCACTCACTCACTCCGCTCACTCCACTCACTCACTCCACTCACTCACTCCACTCACTCCACTCACCTCACACACTTACTCCACTCACTCCACTCACTCTACTCACTCACTCCACTCACTCCACTCACTCACTCACTCCATCTCTTGTAACGCCCCGCACAAACTGGACACCTTTATTGATTAGTTTCAGTAGTTTACAATTAAGAATTAAAAATAAATTGTATGCGCCCACGATTCATGATGTGAGGGACAAAGAAAACCTCTGCCCCCCCCCCCCCAAAAATACCCAACCAAGACCCCCACCCCCCCCCCCCCCATATGGGAGTGGGTCTGGGTGGACCCTCGGGTGCTTAGGGCTGCATCGAGAACATGGAAGGGGAAGGATATCATCTGTTCCTTTCGGGGGGGTTGATAAAATGAAGTACCAGCCGGTGTGGATTTTACATGATCATAGAGACCGTCCATAAATGACGTCACGCATCTCGGGGGGGGGGGGTCAGATATTTGTGACGATGTGTGACGAGGGGGGGGGGTTTGAGAAATGTGACGTCACATCAAAATGCGCAACTTTAAATAAATATAGACAACACCTTCTACTTTAAGAAATGTTTTCTCCTACAACATCAGAGTGCAGCGCCACATTAAATACGCACTACAATGACAATAGTTTAAAGCGATTTGAAGCATGTTTTATTTTGGGGGGGGCAGAGCTTTGTGACGTCAAACTTGAGGGGGGGTCTGACTTTATGTGACGCCGTGTGACGAAGGGGGGGTGGGTGGTCAAAAATCGTCCAAAATCGCGTGACGTCATTTATGGACGGCCCCAAAGCAAAACGGAATATCAATGAGCAGTTGTGATCGGAGGCCATGGACTTCGTGTGCTATCGTCGTTTGTAACAATAAACGATATTTTCTTGACGCGTTTGGCCGTGTCAATTTTGCTACAATTTGGCTGCTTGTGTGGGCAGGTGGAATCGAACCGGCCCCTCGTTGGATTGCAAGCCCAGTGTGGTGACCCATCACATCACTGTGGCAGCATACAGATATTTAAAGCTGTCTTGATGTGAGTCTACGGGTCTCTGTGCGAGTCCATGGGCGTCTGTGTAAGTCTATGGGTGTCTGTGCGAGTCTATGGGTCTCTGTGCGAGTCTACGGGTCTCTGTGTGAGCCTACGGGTCTATGTGCGAGTCTACGGGTCTCTGTGCGAGTCTACGGGTCTCTGTGTGAGTGTACGGGTCTCTGTGTGAGTCTACGGGTCTCTGTGTGAGTCTACGGGTCTCTGTGTGAGTCTACGGGTCTCTGTGTAAGTCTACGGGTCTCTGTGTAAGTCTATGGGTCTCTGTGTGAGTCTACGGGTCTCTGTGTAAGTCTATGGGTCTCTGTGCGAGTCTACGGATCTATGTGGGAGTCTATGGGTCTCTGTGCGAGTCTACGGGTCTCTGTGTGAGTCTACGGGTCTATGTGCGAGTCTACGGGTCTCTGTGCGAGTCTACGGGTCTCTGTGTGAGTGTACGGGTCTCTGTGTGAGTCTCTGGGTCTCTGTGTAAGTCTACGCGTCTCTGTGTGAGTCTACGGGTCTCTGTGTGAGTCTACGGGTCTTTGAGTCTACGGGTCTCTGTGTGAGTCTACGTGTCTCTGTGCGAGTCTACGGGTCTCTGTACGAGTCTACGGGTCTCTGTGTGAGTCTCTGTGTCTCTGCGTGACACGCGAACTCATCCCAATCGATTTGCCCAACTCACCCACCCACCAACTCACTCGACCCTAACTCACTCGCTCACCCACCACCTCACTGGTCCTCGCAAAACAAGACTGCCATTCTCTCTCTCTCGAGCGCTCGGCCGCTTAAATAAGACAGACGTGGGGGGCTGGGTGGGGGGTGGCAGCTCCGTGGTTGATCGACAGTTCCACAGGAGTTGGGTGACGCGCGATGCAAGGTCGGCCGCGTTAGATCGTGAGACACAACAACAATTATCTTACGCTCGTTTAACCTTCGCGGCGTCAATCATTTACCGATTAAAAGCGCTCAACCAACATTCAGCTGCTATAAATTGCCACGTGATGACAAGCCACTTCGTTGAGGTTGTCGTCTGTGGCCAGGTCGCTTCTGAAACAAGAGCTATTGAAGCTCAGTGGGGCCTTACCTGGTAAAATAAAATGAGTTTAGTTTGGTGAGTGACCGACCGCAACCTCCAAGCAACTGTCACATAGACAGTGCCCGATTATCCCAGTAGCAAAAATAGCTACATATGTAGTAGTAGCTACATATGTAGCTACTACTACTATATGTAGTAGTAGCTATTATGTAGTAGCAGCTATTACATGTGTAGTAGTAGCTACTACATATGTAGTAGTAGCTTCTGTGTCGAGGTCTTAAATAGAGAGAGGGGGGGGGGAGCAGAGAGAAGCGGGGGGGTAGAGAAACTAGCATGTCAATGAGAGAGATGTGTGGATATTCACCCCGTAGCGGCCGAGGGAGAGAGAGAGCAACTGGACCTGTAGACGTCGACGCCTGGCAAATATTTAGTGAGAAAAATAGGAAGTTTGAGAAAACAAACTCAGTCAAATTTGGAAGTGTAATGCAATCCAACACAGAGAGTCGGTCAACACACAGTTAACGCATAACCTGGTTGATTACGTTCTTCCAAAGATTGTTAAATTAGAAGTTAAGTGTGAAACTTGAGAGAGAGACAAAACACAGATACGGAGACACGCAGACAGACACACACGCAGAGAGAGAGACAGCACAGACATACACAGAGAGACACACAACATAGACACACAGAGACACACAACATAGACACCACAGAGAGAGACAACAGACACAGAGAGAGAGAGAGAGAAACAGAGACACGGAGAAAAAACTAACTTAAATCCTCCCCGTAGAGGTGGTTCAAACTTCATTTGAAGCTTTCGTGACTGCAGGAATTACTCTGTGTTGTATTGCATTATATTTCTAAGTTTACGAGGTTTATTTTCTACCTGATGACGGTTGCCTGTGTTGCAATCGAAACGTCGTATTATATGATTTAATTTATTTGCTTTACGTGACTTTACCGAAAGAACCAAAAAGTAATTACTGACGATTCGCTTCCAAGCAGCACTAAGCCTGTAGCTATCCGAACGGTTACATTAATATTTATATTTCTCTCAATTTTGATATATTATCTCATTAGTCTTGGCCAGTAGTTACTATTTTTTTCCCTCCAATAATTTCAACGCCCAGCCTCCCGACCAATCACCGTGGAGGCCTCTTTCAGCCAATCGGAGCCCTTGGTTTATCTTTGAATAGTCGTTAGGCTGCACATTGGCTTGGGGTCATTTTCGATCATTCCATCGGTACCAGGTACATTGCCCCGTGATGCAGAGTCTTTGAGATTAGAGTGGTAAGGTACGGTATAGTAAATACAGTAACTTTTTTATAGTAGGATATTTATTTTTTGCCTGTGTGTAGGTTTATTTATGCCCAATTTCATAGAGTAAAGACGTTATAAAACACACACACAAAACACATACACAGCACCTAAAACGTAATGTTACGCAAGAATGTGCAAAAATAAGCTATCTTAAATAATGATGATGTAGTGATCATCCGTTTTTTTTAATTCAATGTCCTGTCAGAACATTGAATTTGTCATCGATGAAAATGAACGGCATACTTTTGAAGCTGCGTCATCCGACATAAATAATCATAGTAAAAAATAGTCGAAGACATTTTCGCTGAAAATATTTCTAGGCATACCTTGATTTTTGTTTGTCAATCATTTCAAATTCGATATGCTTATGTGCGGCACACAGCGCGTTCGAAAGTAATCACTGAAGTCCTACGAAACAGAAGTGCATTGGGCCTACAAGAACCTTACTCTGGCCCTACCTCCACCCGAGTTCTCCTCTCGCCCTTCCAGAAACCTTCCCTGCGTCTCTCATTCCTCATCCCACGGTGTCTGGGTCTATTACCCCCCCCTCCCCCCACTTACACTCGACTCCTCGTGAACTCTCTCGCCATCAAGCACGCCGCCTGATGTCTGTCCTGTACAACCCCCACCACCCTGCGCCACCTTGATCAACTAAGGGGGGGGGACCATAGCAGCACGAAGAGTGCAGTACAACAATGGAGCTCACGGCGAGAACCTGAAAGAGGGAGACACGGACGAGCGGCTGAGAGAGAGAGAGAGAGAGCACGCGGGCCTTGGAGTAAAAGTTCAAAGGTCTCGGCCCGGCCAGCGGGGTCGGCGGACGATGTGGCCCAGACGCGGGGACTGGCCCAGAGCTGCAGCCAAGAGGCGAGGAAACGCGGCCCAAAGCGGGTCACAGCACCTCCCCCATGGAGACGGAGCGATGAAATTGGCTCCGGTTGGATTTGGCAGTCATCGCATGGTGGCTTGTGGGGGGTATGTCAGGCAGGTTCGCCTTCATCCAGCAGTGGATGATGCATCAAGGCTGTTGGCGATGCCGATGTTCGATAAACGTTGCCGCTGTGAACGTGTCAAAGGTTGAAGGTTGAAAAGCTGTAAAGATTGCGGGGGTGGTGGTGGTGGGGGGGTGGTGAACGAATTATTTGCTGGTGCTGCGTTGGCAGTTGGCGCACGAGCAGAGCCGACAACATGATCAACAACAACGTTTCGGGCAACGACCCTTCTTCATACCGCACGTGCAATTTTCCTACGCAAGGAACGTTGCCCGAAACGTCGCCCCCATTAAAACCGCCACGACGCGGCCGCTATCGACTCCCCAGTGCGCCGAGTTGTTTTTTTTTAATTTTTGCTTCGGGAGGGTCAAAGGTCGCCTTCTCGGGGGCCAGAGTTCGCCGCAACGCGGCGCGCGCGCGCTTGCCAAGGTGCGGTCACAGTGACGTCACAGTGGCGTCACGCCCCTTACTGACCACGTCCACCGCCACCACCACAGCGAGCTCCGTCCACCCGGCAAGCCGCGGGGTAAAGTGTGGTGGCTTGTCGCACCACGCCGCCCAATGTGCCGCGGGCAAAGCAGTCGCGCAGGCGACGATGTCTGCGACGTTGCGCCGCTGTGCGCCGCGAGCGGGCGACGCGGTTGCTTGAACCTCAGCAGCTGTTTGACCCGCGTCGACCGAGTTGAAACTAAACAAACTTTGTTATTATTTTACCAGGTAAGGCCCACTGAGCCATAAAGGGGGAGTTCATAAATGACGTCACTGCGATTTTGGACGATTTTTGACCCCCCCCCGCTTCGTCACACGGCGTCACAACAAGTCAGACCCCCCCCCTCAAATATGACGTCACAAAGCTCTGCCCCCCCCCCCGCCCAAAAATGAAACATGCTTCAAATCGCTTTAAACTATTGTCATTGTAGTTGCGTATTTAATGTGGCGCTGCACTCTGATGTTGTAGGAGAAAACAGTTATTTAAAAAGTATATTTAATTAAGTATAATGCGTTGTCTATATTTATTTAAAGTTGCGCATTTTGATGTGACGTCACATTTCTCACCCCCCCCCCTCCCGTCACACATCGTAACAAATGTCTGACCCCCCGCCCCCCCCCCCCAGGTGCGTGACGTCATTTATGGACGGCCCCAAAGCTCTTTTTTTCAGACGTGACGTGGCTATCGCAAAAAATGACAGCTCAACAAAAGTTGCTTTCATCGTCACGTGGAAATCTAAAATCTATAGCATCCAAAACGCAACCAAAACGCGAGATGTTGGTTCTAAATGTGGATGGGGGGGGGAGGAAACAAAATGGAGGACCCGGAGAAAAATCCACGCGACCGCGGGGAGAGAGACGCCGCAAACTCCACACATAGAGCAGCAGCAGCAGCAGGCGCCGTCAGGGTCGAACCCACGACCCCCGCCCTGTTACATCACGAGGAGTGGAGTCGGGGAGATTGCTGTACGGGAGAAAGTGGAAGGCAGAGGAGAGGGAAGAGAGAGAGAGAGAACGGGAAGGGGGAAGACGGTGGGAAGGCGAGCGGAGAAACGGGAGCCAAGGGTCAGGAGAGACGAGGAGGAGGAGAGAGAGAGGCTGCATCAGGGCCTCCACGCTGCTGCTACTGCACGGAGCGGAGTCTGTTTTCACAGCGGGCGGTGACGGGGAGCGGGGAGGGGGTTCGAACTGGGGGGGGGGGCAGGTAGAGGTCACGTGCTCCACGTGGTGAGTGCTCCCCTGCTGGTCAGCACGAGCATGGCATCATCGGTGGCAGGGCTACCGTGGCCAGCTGGCTCACGAGGTCAGAGAGACGCTTATTCTGGGCTATGCGGGTTTCAGCCGCCCAACCACAGTGATTAAACAGAGTTTCTCAAGTGTAATGCGTTGATGGTCTCAGCCAGGTCCCCAGTGACTCACACAGACACCCGTGGACTTAGAGGCAGCGCTCCGAGTAAACCGCTCAAGTGGAGTGAGTTGATGGTCTCAGTCCGGTCACCACTGAACAATAACACCCCCCCCCCCCCCCCAAATCTCACAACATTTGGTTCTGTACATATTTTGATTTTTTTTACAGAATTAAAGATGTCGGCTCGCCAGTCATGCGATGAACATTAATTTTAAAACGTTCAGAGCGGGTGGGAAATTGCTACAGCAATTTGTACGTGCAACTTCTTTCGCACCATACATAGCCGACCGTGCTAAATCAGAGGTGCGGATTTGGACCAGAGATCACTTGCAGGAGGGATATCGGAGGAGGCTCTGCGATATCGGAGGAGGCTCTGCGATATCCGCTTCCGCGGGCTGTTTCACGAATGCGAAGGTTTCACGATGCTCACTGCAACATCTCCAGCTGTGGTCCTCTCGTGTCGACTCGACGGCTGTGGGACAACCGGGATATATTTCATCTACCTGGTTGTGTTCCCACCCAGCACACCAAAGATCCCCCGTGTAGCCTTAACAGACCGTAGGGGCAAGTGCTGTTAGCGAGCGGCACCAATGAAGGCCGGCACGGCGCACGAGGGGGTGGATGGCCAGCACCACGCCCGGCCGCCTTTGTCTCCCCAGTGGCGATGTTGAGATACCGCACCAGGTACTCATTTGAGGCCGAGTCCGCCAAGGAGAGGGCCCAGGACCGGTTCAGATAATCGTCACTGGTGTTGGTGGCCGTGAGCGGGAATCGAACTCGGGTTTGACGGGTTCGTAGCACGGCGTAGCGCTAACCGCGACACCACCGCACCCGGCACACCACGTCCACTGTGACACTCACTATGGGCTTTGGCTGCAGCTCATGCCTTGCCACCTCGTCCAGGCGGTGAGAAATGCTTATCGCTTCTTCGGCTCTTGATGCGAGACGGCAGAGTGGCACCGCGTACCGGTGAGAGACATCGACCAGTGTGTGACCCCCGTCTCCACGTGACCACGTTTATTCAATGATTTTGCTCCCCTTGCAGACAGAAGCACGACATTCCAACTCCCACACATCATCTCCCACCCACGATGCCCCCCCCCCCACCACCGTCCACAACTCGCACAGGTCGCCTCCCGGCGACGATACCTCCATCTCCTACGGAGCCTGGCTCTCGTAATCTCCGGTTCACGCCCGTCACCGCCCCGCACCAACTCCCGCCGAGCATCTTCGTGCCAGCGCAGACACGGACCGTCAAACGACAGGAGCGTTACATTCCCCGAACATTGCAGTACAAGTGTCAACACGTTCGTCAGTAAGGCTGCGTGGGGCCTTAAAAGAGAAAAAAAATATGTTAATAATTGGCGACGCTACAGGCAATGGGCCCGTTTCTTTATAGCACGTAAATGATTTTAGATTCATTTATGACCACACAGCGTCACTTATGAACGTATTGAGTCTTCTGTCATTTATCTGGGCTGGTGTGAACCACTGCCAACGCAGCGGCGGCGGCGGCGGCGGAAGCATCACCGCATAATTTGTTAAAGTAAAAATGCGATCCGCATTTTAAACTGGAGACGTGAGGTCACTGCCAAATGCCGTTGCGCTGTGACGTCGCCTGGAACCTCTCCCTGGTGTCCCGCGGTAACCGGCGACGGTGACGACGCTCGCGTCGGGCGTCGAGGAGCCGCTCGCATCGCGCAGTGAAAACGATCGGGGGGAAAAAAATGTGAAAACAAAAGCTCAGAAATTGTCCTGAAAAAACGTGAAAGCGTTTAATCCGAAACTCATCCCCGCTCACCCACCCACCCGCCCCCCACGCACTGTTAAATCTACAGAGCAACATAAGCAGGTGGAAATTACGACGCAAACCCAAACCCATGCCGGTTTTCCACAAAAATAACGCGAGCGGATATATACCGGGTCCCGCGCACACGAGAGAGAGAGGGGGGTGGGAGAGGCTTTTTGGAGGACCCCTTACAAAGGTGCAGCGGGGAAAAAAAAATAACTGAAAAAGCGGTCGCTCGCCAAAGTTCCACAGCGTTAACGGCGCAGGGGACTCCTCTCGGTCGCTCGCCGAGCGAGCCTCGCGTGCACGGCGCCCACCGCAGACTTGACGTGAAACCGCGTCTCCACAAACGCGCGCAAAAAGACAGTCGCACGCCCGACATTCCCGGTGTAGTTTTCGTGCACAGCCAGTACAAATATCACCCACAGGACAGCGCTGTGGTGCGGCCTTCTCCGCGAGCCCCCCCCCTAGGCCAAGATTCAATGAGTTTTTTGCATTTACTCCCGACAGGGTCAACTACGCAGGCTGCCGCGCATCGAGCAACGAGGCCGTAGGACGTGAACAAACACGGGCCCGAGCAACGGCCTCCGTGGAATTAACGGGGTTTAGTTTTAGAAAACCGATACCGACTTAATCGTCGTCATGTGACCAACCCCCCCCCCGCCCTGCCCACCGGGAGATAAACGGCTGTAGGGAGGTGGTGAGGGTGGCAGTGAGGTGGTGGAGGAGGGAAGGGAGGTGGAGGAGGAGGTGGAGGAGGCGAGGGAGGTGGAGAAGGTTACAGGAATGCCCCGGAGTGACCTCGTGGATCCTTCTGGTTGCGGTAGCGGTGGGTCAGCCACAGTCCCAGCAACTGGCGGACAACATACGGGGGGAGACCGCAACGGGGAGGGGAGGAGAAGCGGGTCAGACACGGGGAGTGGGAGACGTGGGAGATTTGGGGAGTGGGAGACACGTGGAGACACACGGGGAGTGGTACAGCGGGAGACACGGGGAGGTGTGACGTGGGAGATTTGCGCAGTGGGAGATTTGGGTAGTGGGAGACACGTGGAGACACACGGGGAGTGGTACAGCGGGAGACACGGGGAGGGGTGACGTGGGAGATTTGGGGAGTGGGAGATACGTGGAGAGACATGTGGAGTGGTACAGCGGGAGACACGGGGAGGGGGAGACGTGGGAGATTTGGGTAGTGGGAGACACGTGGAGACACACGGGGAGTGGTACAGCGGGAGACACGGGGAGTGGGAGACGTGGGAGATTTGGGGAGTGGGAGACACGTGGAGAGACACGGGGAGTGGTACAGTGGGAGACACGGGGAGTGGGAGACGTGGGAGATTTGGGTAGTGGGAGACACGTGGAGACACACGGGGAGTGGTACAGCGGGAGACACGGGGAGGTGTGACGTGGGAGATTTTCGCAGTAGGAGATTTGGGTAGTGGGAGACACGTGGAGACACACGGGTAGTGGTACAGCGGAAGACACGGGGAGGGGTGACATGGGAGATTTGGGGAGTGGGAGATGTGGGAGACGTGGGGAGACACGGGAAGCGGGAGACACAGGGAGTGGGAGACACGCGGATTGGTGACGTGGGCGATTTGTGGAGTGGGGGATGTGGGGCACACGGGGAAACGGAACGGTGGGAGACACGGAGAGTGGGAGACACGCGGAGGGGTGACGTGGGAGATTTGTGGAGTGGGAGACTCGGGGAGAGTGAGAGACAAAGATGGACGAGAAGGGGAGAGTGAGAAACAAAGATGGGGACGCACCAGGGTGAAGGCAAAGAAGAGTCCAATGCCCCCGACTGCGCGTAGGAGTCCGTCTAGAGACTTGCCAAAGACTAAGCGGCAAGGCGTGTACTCGGGGTGAGCCTGCACGACACACGGTACACAGACACAGGTTAGCACGGCACCTGTACCAGGCAAGGTGCACTCTCAGGCTTTCACTTCAGGTGTGGAAGGCTCACAGGAGGCTCACAGGACAGGGCCAGGAGACGACTGCCAGATGTGCCACCTGTTGCTCTCCCCACTGTCACCGTTCTGCGTTTTATCCGCCCGGCGGTCCGCTCGTTGTCGTGAGCGTCGCACCGCCATCCTCCACTGTTGATGTAGGGGGCGACTGCCTCTTAACTGCCCTAATAGCGCCGGTACCAGTCACCGGCAAGTCCACTCGGCTCCACATCCTCCTGTAACCACCGTCAGCCCACCTCTTCTCCAGCCCGTGCCGTGCCCGTAGAGCCCCCTCTATTCTGGCCAAAGAGACGCTGCTTGGGCATGCGGTGGCAGGGCATGCGGTGGCAGGGGAAGCGGACCACGTGACGAGTCCCCGCCTGCCAGAGGAGCTCACCGATGGGAATGTGCGAGTTCGCGCGCGTTTCTCCCGAGGATTCAAGCCGATATTTACAAATAGATCCGGTTCCCCTTGACCAGACGTTGAGCCTGTAAGCTCGCTCAGTTAGCTCAGCGTTGGTGGTCGTGGGGTTGTTGTTGTGGCGGGGGAGTGTTGTGGTCGGCAAACCTCAGCGCAGAGCGGATCTTCCGTGGTGTTGGTGAAGCCACAACACTGCAGGTACTTCTGAACGTCTTCCCGGGTCTTGTTGTTGGCGTTGGCCCAGCTCAACTCCAACAGGGTGTCCTACCGGAACACAAAGACAAAGATCCCCCACGTAGCCTTGTAATAGACTGTTGGGGCAAGTGCTGTCAAGCAAATATCTATGAAGGCCGACACATCGCGCCTTCACCAGTGGACCCAGAGAAAGCCCAGGGTCCGTTCAGATATTCGTCACCGACATTGCTTTTGAGCAGGAATTGAACTCGGATGGCCAGGGTTCGTAGCGCAGCGTGCTAACCACTGCGCCACCACCCTCCAGCACAAAGACAAAAGATCCCCCATGTAGCCTTAACAGATTATTGGGGCAAGTGCTGTTAACGAGCACCTATGCAGGCCGGCACGGCCCATAAGGGGTTGGAGGTGGCCAGCACCACGCCAGCCCGTTTTTGTCTCCCCGGTGGCGATGTTTACACACCGCACCAGGTAAGGTACTCGTTTGAGGGTGAGTCAACCTAGGGGAGGCCCAGGACTGGTTCAGATAACCATAAGCGGGAATCCAACCCGGGTCGCCAGGTTCGTAGCGCAGCGCACGAACCGCTACACTACCGCTCCCCAGCACACACACGTACAGACACACACATACACACACATACACATACACACACACGTACAGACACAAGGGTACACAAACACACACCCAGGACAAAGACAAAGATCCCCCCCGTGTAGCCTTAACAGACCGCTGAGGCAAGTGCTGTGTGGCATCATGACCATCAGCCATGGTCAAATCCACTGCTGGATGAAAGCCTCCCGAATTCCACTGCCATCTCTCGCTAATAATAATCCACTCCCTCCCTCGCCCCCACATGGCTCTGCTTGATCCCCCCCCCCCCCCCCGAGCCAGACTCGGACAGAGGCCAGCAGCATCGCCACGGTTTGGTTCTGGCTCGGCTCGGCAAAATAGCCGGTGGGGAATTTTTTAAGATAATAATCCCACCGTGGACCGGGAGGGTCAACCGTGCGCTGACCCGGCTGGGATCTGGCACCGGAAAACAAGCCGTAAGGGAGATGGGGGGGGTCATGCCGTATGTCAGCTGGGGGAGCACGGGAACACGTGCCCACACGCAAGGGAAATCATTACAGAGGACAGTGGAAAGGAAGGCCTCGTCCTGGCCTCCTGTAGAACCTCCACCGCTACCGCTACCTCCACCTCCATCCTCGCCTCCACCCCCACTGCTACCCCCACCCCCACCCCCACCTCCACCCCCACCGCCAGCCCCCCGCTACCCCCATCTCCACCCCCACCCCCACCCCCACCGCTACCCCCACTGAACTCCGGCCGTGGGTCGCTGGCCCTTGCGCGGTTCTCGTCTCACCACCTGCTGGTTCCCTTAATCTCACCTGCTGGTTCTCGTCATCTCACCACCTGCTGGTTCCCATCGTCTCACCACCTGCTGGTTCTCGTCATCTCACCACCTGCTGGTTCCCATCATCTCACCACCTGCTGGTTCCCTTAATCTCACCTGCTGGTTCTCGTCATCTCACCACCTGCTGGTTCCCATCGTCTCACCACCTGCTGGTTCTCGTCATCTCACCACCTGCTGGTTCCCATTGTCTCACCTGCTGGTTCCCTTAATCTCACCTGCTGGTTCTCGTTGAGGGCGAGGCAGGTGCAGGACACGCCGAGCTGCACGATGAACATGGGCACCAGGATCACCATGTACTGCACACGCTCCGTCAAGGACAAAGGGGACTGGGCAGGAAGGAGCCACACGTGACCCACGGCCGCGCCCTCGCTCGCCCCTTTGGCCGCCTGTACAACCGTCGTCCCCGACATCTGTCCAACGTTTCACCCCTTCCACGTTCCGAGACGTCCACAAGTTGGAGGGCGCTGCCGTCCCCCGCTCACCGCCGAATCTCGGGGAGAACGCGGGCGGCCCAGCGTTCATTTCGCTTAGAGGAGGCGAAGCGGCGCCGCTGTTTTTTGAAGGATGCTGTACAGTACTCACCGCGGAGAACTGTAGCGGCACGACCGCCGCCAGGCTAGGATAGCCGACGGCCAAACTGGTGCCACGCGCCTTCCCGCGTGGGCCTTTCACTCCCGAATCGATTACCGTTCCGCCGACGTAAACGTCCGGAATCGGAAGAAAAACCGATGACGTATGTGTACATCATTGGAACGGGGAAGGGTTAATAAGCAACTTCTTATGATTAGAGGTTTTTTTGGGTTAGAGCGCGTGAATATAAAAGTGTCCTTAAACCCGCCACTAGTACAGCACGCCGGTGTTGGAGAGCAGATAGACGACATTTACAATCTGAGTAGATTGAGGAGATTGTAAATGTCGTGGATTTACACAGCGGCGTGCTGAACCAGTAACGAGATTGGCACGTTCCGTTGACGTGACAAACCTTATTAATTGGATGTCGAGTGGTGGCGGGTTTCACGACACATTTATATTTGCCCAATATAACCCAAAAAAACCCGCTGTATTATGGATGATATTGGTCGCGAAACTAAGCAACTTTTTTTTAGCAACTTAAAAATAGATACAGTAGAACCTTGGAGATCGAATGCACCAGAACTCTTAACAATTCGGTGTTCGAACCATATTTCCGAACATTTCTTGCCCCGGAAACCGAACGAAATTCGGAGGTCGAATGGCAATCGCGACTTGAAAGAACCTGTACACGGCTGAGACGCTGATGGCCAGCAGCGTGCATGATGCTTGCCCAGACAAAGGTTTTACCGTATGGGACTCCCCTTCCAAACATTAACACCACCACCACCACCACCTCCTCCTCACCACCTTCCACTCAAGCCATCGACTCTCCTTTCTACAGGTAAAGTGAAGTTCAATGTTCATTTAGTCCATTTATTCCGTGTATTTATTCATTTATTCCATTTGTTTATCGTGTTTCTTGGTTTTTTAAAATTATTTTATGCGTGTAATTACTGTAAACTTCGTGTAAAAATGCTTTATAACGAGAGATTCCTTGTGTATGGAACCAATTAATGTAATTTACGTTAATTCTTATGGGGAAAATTAATTCGGTGTTTGAACAAATCGGTGTTCTAATGGCCTTCTGGAACGAATTAAGTTCGATCTCCGGGGTACCACTGTACATTTCCACGTACATTTACATCCATACCAATGAACCCCACCCCGCCCCCCCTCCTGCCCACTACTGTTTTAGGCTCTCACAGCTGTACCGACGGTGAATATTTATAAAGCGACCCGCTAACTTTTTCCTCTTCTTTGCAGTCCGATGGTGTTTTTCTGTTGTTTGTTGTTGTAACTTTCTGACCGCCCCCCCCCACCTACTGGACATCTGTGAAAAAAAAGCTTCATAGTTCATCGGATTCCTCCGGTCATAAATAAATATTCTGATTCTGACACAGTTGGCTTAGCTGTGTGGCGATTGGGTCCAGATAAGGAGCCAAAGGTTACGAAACATTTTCTTTAAAACTGCTTTTTGTGTTGAGTTTGTCTTCCTTCCCCCGCGGTTGGCCCGTACCACCGCCAACCACCGCAACAGCCACCGCTCAGGGCTGCTGTGGCACCAGAACCGCTGGAGACAGGAAGCGGAGGCAGGATGTCAATCCGAGACGACAGGATGCCGGGCAGTGAAAAATCCAATGCAGCTCACAACCGCGCCAGCCCCTATCCCCCCCCGCGTGCTTTTGTGAGCGACTGTACTGACCCCCCCCCACCGCCACACCCCCCCCCCGTGGTGGCGTTACCCAGCATGCACCCTGCAGAGCGGGGGACCCAGCGGCGGCGGCGGCCGTGTCAATCGCGGAAGCGAGCGCCGGTGACGGCGGGCAGCGGCACTCCAGCACACGTCTTGAGTGAATGTCATCGACACAGGGAGGGATACATCAATGGAAGGAAAAGCGCAATCGCTGACGTACTTGAGAAAGGACGTGGCTCCTGTAAACAGACTCGCATGAGCACCTGTGTTACACCAGCAGCAGCAGCAGCAGTACCAACACAACCCCTACAACCACCACCAGCAGTACCAACACAACCCCTACAACCATCACCAGCAGTACCAACACAACCCCTACAACCACCACCGCATGCAACAGTAGTACTAACACAACCCCTACAACCACCACCAGCAGTACTAACACAACCCCTACAACCACCACCAGCAGTACCAACACAACCCCTACAACCACCACCAGCAGTACCAACACAACCCCTACAACCACCACCGCATGCAACAGTAGTACTAACACAACCCCTATAACCACCACCAGCAGTACCAACACAACCCCTACAACCACCACCGCATGCAACAGTAGTACTAACACAACCCCTACAACCACCACCAGCAGTACCAACACAACCCCTACAACCACCACCGCATGCAACAGTAGTACTAATACAACCCCTACAACCACCACCACCAGTACTAACAGAACCCCTACAACCACCACCACATGCAACAGTAGTACCAACACAACCCCTACAACCATCACCACATGCAACAGTAGTACTAACATAACCCCTACAACCACCACAATAACCACCACCAGTACTAATACAACCCCTACAACCACCACCGATACCCCTACCACCACCACCATTAACAGTACCAACACAGCGACCACCACCACCGATACCCCGACCACCAAAACCACAACCATCAACACAACCCCTACAACCACTACCGATACCCCCTACCACCACCAGCAGTATCCATACCATGACCACCACTACCTCTACCGCCACAAAAAACAAAGATCCCCTGTGTAGCCTACGCAGGCTGGAGGGGCAAGTGTCGCAGTGAGTATGAAGGCCGGCACAGCATACGAAGGGGGTGGGTGGCCAGCACCACACCCAGGCCATTTTCGTCTCCCCGGTATGGATCCTTACAAACCGCACCAAGTAATACATCTAAGGCTGAGTCGACCTAGGGGGAGAGGGGGAGGGGGGAGGCTACGGGACCGGTTCAGATATTCATGAACCGAAGTTGGCCGTGAGTGGGGAAATTGAACACGAGAACGTCGAGGGGGGGTGGCTGTGGGTTTGTTAGCACGTCAACCGCTGCACCGCCACACCACACAGCGACGACAACGACGATGACTCAAATAATTTAAAAAAACGCTGAAATCGCGAGCGGCGCGGAAGAAAATCGGCGTCCAGTTTTCGCGACGATTCATCGCGGCGACGATTCATCGCGACGCCGGTTCACGATCAGCCGACACAAAACCCCCCGATCACGGTTCACGACCACAGGACACAAACCCCCCGATCACGGTTCACGACCACAGGACACAAAACCCCCCGATCACGGTTCACGACCACAGGACACAAACCCCCCGATCACGGTTCACGACGCCGCCTCTCCGCCCCGATGGCTGCCACCACCTGGCCGCGCACAAGCGGCAGGCTCGCAATGAGACGCGGCCGGTTTGAAAATCATCAAGAAGATCGACTCCCCCCCCCCCGCCTCCCTTGGCTACCACCACCGACTGCCGCAGGGGTAGGTGGGCAACGCCGAGCCACCCGCACGGGCAGAGCCGGCGTGTCAACCTCCAACTCCCTCCGTCCCCACTGCGCCTTCCACTTCACGATCGCGAGACGCTCAACGTTGTCAGAAACCCGAGTTTCGGGGGGGTGACGGCGACCCCCGGGGGGGTGACGACGACCCCCGGGGGGGTGACGGCGACCCCCGGGCGTAACGGCGACCCCCGATGGTAAGGACGACCCCCGATGGTAACACCCCTCGAGACACTACCGCGTCCGGCCGCGCGACGTGCCATGGTGCCGCCCCTGCCTCGGTGGCCCCGCGCCCGGCCGGTGAGGATACGAAGAAGAGCAGCACCTGGTGGTGCTTGACGGCACCGACGAGGCCGACGATGGAGACGAGGAAGAGGAAGAAGCCAACGGAGATGACGCCGCCCACCACCGAGATGCTGGAGATGATGCCGAAGCCTGCGCCGTAGGCCGCGACCCCGATCAGCAGCAGCCCCACGAGCTGCACGGTGGAGGGGGGTCGGGGGGGGAGAGAAGGGAGAGGTGAGAAAGGTTGGGGTTGAGGTAGGGAGGTGGGAGGGAGGGGAGAGAGGGAGGCGATGGGAGACGGGCGATGAAGTGACGACGTGAGGGGAGCGTGTCGCGGGTGAGAAGGGAGAGGGGGTGAGGGAGGGAGGTTGACACGGAGGTTGACACGGAGGTGGGAGAAGTTTGAGGGAGACGATGTCGAAGTGGATTCAGGAGCAGAAGGGAGGAGAGATGCAAGAGGAGAGGGAGGAGGGTGACAAGGAGGAGGGGACAGACGACGAAGGAGGATGACGTGGAACAGGGTTAAGAGGTCAGAGGACATCAAACAGAAATGCTTCATCCGATTGCAAACCCACTTTTGAACAATCATCGCACACTGCGGTCACTTACAGTGGTCGCTTTACCGTCACGCCAAAAGCCCACGTCTATCTGAGCGGGAGTCCCAAGGCGTCCGCTCGGGGCCACCTCTTCACACTCCCGCTGCCTTGCATCCCAACCGGGAAACGTACGCACGTACGCACGCACGCATGCACGCATGCACGTGTGTGTGTGTTTAACTTTTGTTGCACCGTACGTAGCCAACCGTGTGCTAATCGGAGGTGATGGGAGTGTAGGTGTGTGTGTGTGTGTTGAACTTCTTTCGCACCGTACGTAACCAACCGTGCTAATCGGAGGTGTGGCTGTAGGCAAGCAGTTCAGATTCGCTAGCCTCCTTACCATAGCGTTCTGGTGGGGGTGGCGGTGACCATTTAAGCTGCAAAGAGGGCACCAGTCACACAGGAAAATGCCAAGTGGCACGGGCAATCGCATCTCACGCAAAATTTATCTAATCTTTAAATATATATTTTTTTGGATTGTGCTGCTATTGGTGCTGCCTCGTCACGAGACGAAGAATCCCTTTGGAGCTCTCGCAGTGAGAAGTGCGACCCCCTTCGCGTTAGAAAACGGCCCACTGAAGCAGATATCACAGAGCTACCGCTGAGATCGCCTTCTTCTTCAAGTGACAACTGGTCCACACAGAATAGCCCACTGAAGCAGATATCACAGAGCTACCGCTGAGATCGCCTTCTTCTTCAAGTGACAACTGGTCCACACAGAATAGCCCACTGAAGCAGATATCACAGAGCTACAGCTGAGATCGCCTTCTTCTTAAAGTTCCACTCTGGTCCACACAGAATGGCCCACTGAAGCAGATATCATAGAGCTACCGCTGAGATTGCCTTTTTCTTCAAGTGACAACTGGTCCACACAGAATAGCCCACGTAAGCGGTGATCACAGAGCTACCGCTGAGATCGCCTTCTTCTTAAAGTTCCACTCTGGTTCACACAGAACGGCCCACTGAAGCAGATATCACAGAGCTACCACTGAGATCGCCTTCTTCTTAAAGTTCCACTGTGGTCCACACAGAACGGCCCACTGAAGCAGATATCACAGAGCTACCACTGAGATCGCCTTCTTCTTAAAGTTCCACTGTGGTCCACACAGAACGGCCCACTGAAGAAGATATCACAGAGCTACCACTGAGATCGCCTTCTTCTTAAAGTTCCACTCTGGTCCACACAGAATGGCCCACTGAAGCAGATATCACAGAGCTACCGCTGATATCGCCTTCTTCTTAAAGTACCGCTCTGGTCCACACACAGAACGGCCCACTGAAGCAGATATCATAGAGCTACCGCTGATATCGCCTTCTTCTTCAAGTTCCACTCTGGTCCACACAGAATAGCCCACGTAAGCAGATATCACAGAGCTACCGCTGAGATCGCCTTCTTCTTAAAGTACCGCTCTGGTCCACACACAGAACGGCCCACTGAAGCAGATATCACAGAGCTACCACTGAGATCGCCTTCTTCTTAAAGTACCGCTCTGGTTCACACACGGGAGCAGGCAGCGCCTTCCCGCCCCGCCGCCCGAGAGCAATGTGCCGCCGTCGCATGACAGCCAAAACCAAATGTGGTGCAGAGAAGCACAGTGTGATGGTGGGGGTTGTTGTGCAGCCATTGGTGACCGGGCTGAGCCCAAAAACTCGCTCCAACACTTGAGGAACCGGTTTCACCACAGGCGACTGAACCCCGATTTCAAATCTCGGGGGGGGGGGGGGAGGGCAGGGGGAGGGTCTCAGCAATGCTGGGCTCGACTCCCTGAGTTGTGTGCGAGCCACCTGGCCCCTCCTTGGTTCAAAATAATTCACGCCTACACTTCGGATGAATGCGGCTTGTGTCGACGGTGGCTAGGAGATGTTAACTACCTCGCCTGGTATACAGGAAGTCGTGGGTTCGATCCCAACCCTGATGCCTGCTGCTGTATATTTGGAGTTTGCGTGTCTCTCTCTCATCATCACGGTGGCTAGGAGATGTTAACCACCTCGCCTGGTATACAGGAAGTCGTGGGTTCGATCCCAACCCTGATGCCTGCTGCTGTATATGTAGAGTTTGCGTGTCTCTCTCTCTCATCATCATCACGGTGGCTAGGAGATGTTAACTACCTCGCGCGGTATACAGGAAGTCGTGGGTTCGATCCCAACCCTGACGCCTGCTGTGTATTTTGAGTTTGCGTGTCTCTCTCTCATCATCATCACGGTGGCTAGGAGATGTTAACTACCTCGCCTGGTATACAGGAGGTCGTGGGTTCGATCCCAACCCTGACGCCTGCTGTGTATTTGGAGTTTGCGTGTCTCTCTCATCATCATCACGGTGGCTAGGAGATGTTAACTACCTCGCCTGGTCTACAGGAGGTCGTGGGTTCAATCCCGACCCTGAGGCCTGCTGTGTATTTGGAGTTTGCAGTCTCTCTCTCTCCCCATCCACGCTCAGAATCAACACCGCGCGTTTCGAGTATTTGTCTGCTGCAAAACGTCCACGCAATAATAATAATAATCCACATTTCGTTGAGCTATCGGAGAGGGAGGAATGGGATGGAGGAGATGGGGGGGGGGCACGGCAGAGGGGAGAACGAACGAAATATGACGTCGAGGCGAGGGGGCAGGAGGAGGTGAGGGGGCAGGACGAGGTGAGGGGGCAGGAGGAGGTGAGGGGGCAGGAGGAGGTGAGGGGGCAGGAGGAGGTGAGGGGGCAGGAGGAGGTGAAGGGGCAGGACGAGGTGAGGGCGAGCGGGGACCAAGCGAGAAGTTGACGAGGGCAGACAGTTGGCGTTGAGGTGACGAGGCGAGGGGTGAAGAGGTGAGAGAGGGTGAGGAGAGAGGGGGGTTGAGGCGAGAGAAGGCAAGTTGATGAGGTGGGGATTGGGTGTGAGGGGGTGATGCTGAGAAGAGGGGAAGGCGAGGGGTGAAGAGGTGAGGGGTGAGAAGTGATGAGGGGGGGGGGGGTTGAGGAGGGAGGCGAGAGAAGGCAAGGTGATGAGGTGGGGATTGGGTGTGAGGGGGTGATGCTGAGAAGAGGGTAATGGAAGAGGTGAGGTGTGAGGAGAGCAATGAGGTTGGAGGTGCGGGCGGGAAGACGAGGCGGAGGGAATGGCAAGCGATGAGGGGCGAGGGGGAGGGGTAGTGTAGCGGTGAGCGCGACCCGAGATCCTGCGTCTCCCCTAGGTCGACTCGGCCTCAAATCCGTATCTGGTGCTGCGTGTAAACATCGCCACTGGGGAGACAAAGGCGGCCGGGCGTGGCGTTGTCCACCCACCCCCTCGTGCGCCGTGGTGGTCTACTTCGGTGCTACTCGCTAACAGCACTTGCCAAGTCTGTTATAGGCTGCTTATATTGTTATAGTCTATTTATATTGTTATAGTCTACTTATATTGTTATAGTCTACTTATATTGTTATAGTCTACTTATATTGTTATAGTCTACTTATATTGTTATAGGCTACTTATATTGTTATAGGCTATTTATATTGTTATAGTCTACTTATATTGTTATAGGCTATTTATATTGTTATAGTCTACTTATATTGTTATAGGCTGCTTATATTGTTATAGGCTGCTTATATTGTTATAGGCTACTTATATTGTTATAGTCTACTTATATTGTTATAGTCTACTTATATTGTTATAGGCTACTTATATTGTTATAGGCTATTTATATTGTTATAGTCTACTTATATTGTTATAGTCTACTTATATTGTTATAGGCTATTTATATTGTTATAGGCGACTTATATTGTTATAGGCGACTTATATTGTTATAGTCTACTTATATTGTTATAGGCTACTTATATTGTTATAGTCTACTTATATTGTTATAGTCTACTTATATTGTTATAGGCTATTTATATTGTTATAGGCGACTTATATTGTTATAGGCGACTTATATTGTTATAGTCTACTTATATTGTTATAGGCTACTTATATTGTTATAGTCTACTTATATTGTTATAGTCTACTTATATTGTTATAGGCTACTTATATTGTTATAGTCTACTTATATTGTTATAGTCTACTTATATTGTTATAGGCGACTTATATTGTTATAGTCTACTTATATTGTTATAGGCTACTTATATTGTTATAGTCTACTTATATTGTTATAGTCTACTTATATTGTTATAGGCTATTTATATTGTTATAGGCTATTTATATTGTTATAGTCTATTTATATTGTTATAGGCTACTTATATTGTTATAGGCTATTTATATTGTTATAGGCTATTTATATTGTTATAGGCCACTTATATTATTATAGGCTACTTATATTATTATAGGCTACTTATATTGTTATAGTCTACTTATATTGTTATAGGCTACTTATATTGTTATAGGCTATTTATATTGTTATAGTCTACTTATATTGTTATAGTCTACTTATATTGTTATAGTCTACTTATATTGTTATAGGCTATTTATATTGTTATAGGCGACTTATATTGTTATAGGCGACTTATATTGTTATAGTCTACTTATATTGTTATAGGCTACTTATATTGTTATAGTCTACTTATATTGTTATAGTCTACTTATATTGTTATAGGCTATTTATATTGTTATAGGCTATTTATATTGTTATAGTCTATTTATATTGTTATAGGCTACTTATATTGTTATAGGCTGCTTATATTGTTATAGTCTACTTATATTGTTATAGTCTACTTATATTGTTATAGGCTACTTATATTGTTATAGTCTACTTATATTATTATAGGCTACTTATATTGTTATAGTCTACTTATATTGTTATAGTCTACTTATATTGTTATAGTCTACTTATATTGTTATAGTCTACTTATATTGTTATAGGCTATTTATATTGTTATAGTCTATTTATATTGTTATAGGCTATTTATATTGTTTTAGGCTGCTTATATTGTTATAGGCTGCTTATATTGTTATAGGCTATTTATATTGTTATAGGCTATTTATATTGTTATAGGCTACTTATATTGTTATAGGCTATTTATATTGTTATAGGCTATTTATATTGTTATAGGCTACTTATATTATTATAGGCTACTTATATTGTTATAGGCTACTTATATTGTTATAGGCTACTTATATTATTATAGGCTACTTATATTGTTATAGGCTATTTATATTGTTATAGGCTGCTTATATTGTTATAGGCTGCTTATATTGTTATAGGCTATTTATATTGTTATAGGCTATTTATATTGTTATAGGCTATTTATATTGTTATAGGCTATTTATATTGTTATAGGCCACTTATATTATTATAGGCTACTTATATTATTATAGGCTACTTATATTGTTATAGGCTACTTATATTATTATAGGCTACTTATATTGTTATAGGCTACTTATATTGTTATAGTCTACTTATATTGTTATAGGCTACTAATATTATTATAGGCTGCTTATATTGTTATAGGCTACTTATATTGTTATAGGCTACTTATATTGTTATAGGCTACTTATATTGTTATAGGCTACTTATATTGTTATAGGCTACTAATATTGTTATAGGCTATTTATATTGTTATAGGCTACTTATATTATTATAGGCTACTTATATTATTATAGGCTACTTATATTGTTATAGGCTACTTATATTATAGGCTACTTATATTGGTATAGGCTATTTATATTGTTATAGGCTACTTATATTGTTATAGGCTACTTATATTGTTATAGGCTATTAATATTGTTATAGGCTGCTTATATTGTTATAGTCTACTTATATTGTTATAGGCTACTTATATTGGTATAGGCTATTAATATTGGTATAGGCTATTAATATTGGGGGGGGACACACCACCCCCCATAATCAAATATGCTCAAAATGCCCCCCCCCCAATATATTGCTATAAAATAGATTTCTGTTTACATGATCGTGGTTATGGTTGTACTTTATTAATCCCTAATCTCTGCCATTACATACAATGAAACAAGAAATGGTAAAAAACAGAGCAATGTAATACAATACACTATTAGACATTAATTAAAAAGTCCATCCTATGTAATAGTGATTTTTTTATATTTTAGGCAGGAAATTATTTGGTCCCCCCCAATGTTGACTCCATGGCTACGGCCTTGATGGGGTGGGTGATGGGGGGGGTGATGGGGTAGGTGATGGGGTAGGTGATGGGGGGGGTGATGGGGGGGTGATGGGGGGGTGGTGCTGGGGTGGTGATGGGGTGGGTGATGGGGGGGATGGTGATGGGGTGGGTGATGGGGGGGATGGTGATGGGGGGGATGGTGATGGGGTGGGTGATGGGGTGGGGTGATGGGGTGGGTGATGGGGTGGGTGATGGGGGGGGTGATGGGGTGGGTGATGGGGGGGGGGTGATGGGGTGGGTGATGGGGGGGGTGATGATGGGGGGATGGGTGATGGGGTGGGTGATGGGATGGGTGATGGGGGGGGGGGTGATGGGGGGATGGGTGATGGGGTGGGTGATGGGGTGGGTGATGGGGGGGGGGTGATGGGGGGTGATGGGGGGGGTGGGTGATGGGGGGTGATGGGGGGGGGTGATGGGGGGATGGGGGGGTGGGTGATGGGGTGGGTGATGGAGGGATGGGTGATGGGGGGATGGGTGATGGGGGGGTGATGGGGGGGGGTGATGGGGGGATGGGTGATGGGGTGGGTGATGGGGGGATGGGTGATGGGGTGGGTGATGGGGTGGGTGATGGGGGGGTGGGTGATGGGGTGGGTGATGGGGGGGTGGGTGATGGGGGGGGTGGTGATGGGGTGGGTGATGGGGGGGTGGTGATGGGGGGGGTGATGGGGTGGGTGATGGGGGGGGTGGAGATGGGGTGGGTGATGGGGGTGGGTGATGGGGGGTGGGTGATGGGGGTGGGTGATGGGGGGGGGGTGATGGGGGGGGTGGGTGATGGGGGGTGGGTGGAGATGGGGTGGGTGATGGGGGGGGGTGATGGGGGGGGGTGATGGGGGGGGGTGATGATGGGGTAGAGGCCGCAGCCAGGTGAACGGCACAGACGCGGAGGGGATTTCCAGGAGTCGTCGCCTCAGCTCACAGAACCACCCCACCCCACCCCCCACCCTCCGAGACCAGCCAGGCTCGATCCACAGTTCCATGTCAAAAGTTGACATGGAACTGCGCGCTTCCACCATTCTGCGATTCTCTCGCCAACGCCGACCGCTGTCCCTCCGCGTGCGAGGTTAAAACCCGCGCGTTTATTCTACTCGTCAAAAGTTCGCGTGTTTTTGTAACGGAATCAAACGCCCTCGTCTCGCCGTATCGATATCGCATGAGACGCGTACGGAACGGACAAACAATCGATTTAAACGCGCGGCGATTCTCCCACCGGGAAACATCGGGGGCCCCCCCCCCCACCATTTAAACGCCACCGCATCCCTCGTGACGGAAACTTCTCGAAGCCCCCTCCCCTCCCCCCCTTTTATTTTTGGTCACGGCCCCCCAAGTCCCCTTAAGACCCCGATGATACCGAGACCCTCAGACCCAGATACACCCCCCTCATAAGAGACCCCCCCCCCTATGAGTCCCCGCTTCTCATAGAAACACCAATCCCAGGTCACAGATATGTCCTCCCTTATTAACCCCCCCCCCAAATCCTACACTCAAGAGAGACCACTTTTTCTAGAGACTACCTTGAAAATTTATTTACTTTAAAACTGCTTGTTTGTTGTGTGTTAGTTTGTGAGCGCGGTTGGCTACGTACGGTGCGAAAGAAGTTTAACAAACATACATTTTCACAGGGAACCCACCCCTATAGACCCCTGCAGAACCTCTTTAGACATCCCCAGAGACCACAAACAGACCCCCCTAAACAGACCCCCCTAAACAGACCCCCCTAAACACTCAGACCCCCCCTAAACACTCAGACCACACTCCGAGACAGACCCCTAAACAAACCACAGGGACCCCTGACACCCCCGCCCAGAGACCCCTAGAGACAGAACCCAGAGACTCCTAGAGAAGAACCCAGAGACCCCTAAACAAACCAGAGACCCCTGAACAAACCACAGAGACCCCTGACTCCCCCACGCCCAGATACCCCTAGAGACAGAACCCAGAGACCCCTAAACAAACCTCATGGACCCCTGACTCCCCACGCCCAGATACCCCTAGAGACAGAACCCAGATACCTCTAGAGACAGAACCCAGAGACCCCTAAACAAACCACAGAGACCCCTGACTCCCCACGCCCAGAGACCCCTAGAGACAGAACCCAGAGACCCCTAGGGACAGAAACCAGAGACCCCTAGAGACAGAACCCACAGACCCCTAGAGACAGAACCCAGAGACCCCTAAACAAACCACATGGACCCCTGACACCCCACGCCCAGAGACCCCTAGAGACAGAACCCACAGACCCCTAAACAAACCACAGAGACCCCTAGAGACAGAACCCACAGACCCCTAAACAAACCACAGAGACCCCTAGAGACAGAACCCAGAGACCCCTAAACAAACCACATGGACCCCTGACACCCCACGCCCAGAGACCCCTAGAGACAGAACCCAGAGACCCCTGAACAAACCACAGAGACCCCTGACACCCCACGCCCAGAGACCCCTAGAGACAGAACCCAGAGACCCCTAGAGACAGAACCCAGAGACCCCTGAACAAACCACAGAGACCCCTGACACCCCACGCCCAGAGACCCCTAGAGACAGAACCCAGAGACCCCTAGAGACATAACCCACAGACCCCTAAACAAACCAGAGACCCCTAGAGACAGAACCCAGAGACCCCTGAACAAACCACATGGACCCCCGACACCCCACGCCCAGATACCCCTAGAGACAGAACCCAGAGACCCCTAGAGACAGAACCCACAGACCCCTAAACAAACCACAGAGACCCCTAGAGACAGAACCCAGAGACCCCTAGAGACAGAACCCAGAGACCCCTAAACAAACCACATGGACCCCTGACACCCCACGCCCAGAGACCCCTAGAGACAGAACCCAGAGACCCCTAAACAAACCACATGGACCCCTGACACCCCACGCCCAGAGACCCCTAGAGACAGAACCCAGAGACCCCTGAACAAACCACTGAGACCCCCGACTCCCCACGCCCAGAGACCCCTAGAGACAGGACCCAGAGACCCCTAGAGACAGGACCCAGAGACCCCTACACAGACCCCCCGGGAAACCCCGCCGCCTCACCATGTAGAGGGTGTTCAGCGCCCCGAGGGCGTTCTTCGAGCAGACGAAGCCTCCGCACACCATCTTGGCGTCTTGCTGTATCCGGGCTCTTGTCGGGGATGAAGCGGTGAGAGAGGAGGGGGAGGAGGAGGAGAGGAGGAGGAGAGGGGGTTCTCCTCGGCTCGATTCGCGGGGTCCGCTTGGGGTCCGGTGGGGGATCCCGATGGGAGGAATCGGGGAAGGCGAGGGGGGGAGATGGAATGGACGTCGGCAGAGAGACCCTCGACCAGGTAGGTGTCTGTGTTGAACCACCTCGACCAGGTGTCTGTGTTGAACCTCGACCAGGTGGGTGTCTGTGTTGAACCTCGACCAGGTGCCGGGTAGGTGACGCAGACCGAGGAGGGGACTGCACCGTCGGTGAGCTCTGACTGGAGCGGGCGGAGGAGGATGAGGCGGCGAATCGACGAGGTTCCGGTGTGAGCCCGGGACGGTGTCGAGGAGGGGGAGAGGGGGGAGGAGAGGGGGGGGGAGAGGGGGGGGGCAACCCACGCCCCGCCCCGGTCTCCACGTCGCGCATTTCGCGTGGCCCGGCCGCACCTGCGCGCTCCCTTGGCCAGGGCTGTTGCCAACTCAGCGGATTTTGTCGTACACCCTCGCAGGGACCCACGGACTCGCACAGAGACCCACAGACACACAGAGACCCACAGACACACAGAGACCCACAGACACGCAGAGACCCACAGACACGCACAGAGACCCACAGACTCGCACATAGACTCACGGACTCGCACAGAGACCCACAGACTCGCAAGAGACCCACAGACTCGCAAGAGACCCACAGACACGCACAGAGACCCATAGACTCGCACATAGACCCACAGACTCGCACAGAGACCCACAGACACGCACAGAGACCCACAGACTCGCACATAGACTCACGGACTCGCACAGAGACCCACAGACTCGCAAGAGACCCACAGACTCGCAAGAGACCCACAGACACGCACAGAGACCCATAGACTCGCACATAGACCCACAGACTCGCACAGAGACCCACAGACACGCACAGAGACCCACAGAGACGCACAGAGACCCACAGACACGCACATAGACCCACAGACTCGCACAGAGACCCACGGACTCGCACATAGACTCACGGACTCGCACAGAGACCCACAGACACGCACAGAGACCCACAGAGACGCACAGAGACCCACAGACACGCACATAGACCCACAGACTCGCACAGAGACCCACAGACTCGCACATAGACTCACGGACTCGCACAGAGACCCACAGACACGCACAGAGACCCACAGAGACGCACAGAGACCCACAGACACGCACATAGACCCATCAGACACGCACAGAGACCCACAGACACGCACACAGACCCACAGAGACCCACAGACACGCACAGAGACCCATCAGACACGCACATAGACTCACGGACTCGCACAGAGACCCACAGACTCGCACAGAGACCCATAGACTGACAGACCCACAGACTCGCACAGAGACTCACGGACTCGCACAGAGACCCACAGCCACGCACACAGACCCACATAGACCCACAGACTCGCACAGAGACCCACAGACTCGCACATAGACTCACGGACTCGCACAGAGACCCACAGAGACGCACAGAGACCCACAGACACGCACATAGACCCATCAGACACGCACAGAGCCCCACAGACTCGCACATAGACTCACGGACTCGCACAGAGGCCCACAGACACGCAAAGAGACCCACGGACTCGCAGAGACCCGCAGACACGCACAGAGACCCACAGACACGCACAGAGACTCACGGACTCGCACAGAGACCCACAGACACGCACAGAGACCCACGGACTCGCACAGAGACCCACAGACTCGCACATAGACTCACGGACTCGCACAGAGACCCACAGACACGCACAGAGACCCACAGACTCGCACAGAGACCCACAGACTCGCACAGAGACCCACAGCCACGCACAGAGACCCACAGATACGCACAGAGACACATCAGACACGCACATAGACCCACGGACACGCACAGAGACCCACAGACACGCACAGACACGCACAGAGACCCACAGACACGCACATAGACCCACGGACTCGCACAGAGACCCACAGACTCGCACAGAGACCCACAGACACGCACAATAGACTCACGGACTCGCACAGAGACCCACAGACTCGCACAGAGACCCACAGACTCGCAGAGAGACCCACAGACACGCATAGAGACCCACAGACTCGCACAGAGACCCACAGACACGCACAAAGACCCATCAGACACGCGCATAGACTCACGGACTCGCACAGAGACCCACAGACTCGCACAGAGACCCACAGACACGCAAACAGACCCACGGACTTGCAGAGACCCACAGACACGCACAGAGACCCACAGACACGCACAGGGACCCATCAGACACGCACATAGACTCACGGACTCGCGCAGAGACCCACAGACTCGCACAGAGACCCACAGACTCGCACAGAGACCCACAGACACGCACATAGACCCACGGACTCGCAGAGACCCACAGACTCGCACAGAGACCCACAGACTCGCAAGAGACCCACAGACTCGCACAGAGACCCACAGACTCGCACAAATAGCCATAGACTCGCACAGAAACCCACAGACTCGCACAGAAACCCACAGACTCGCACAGAGACCCACAGACACGCACAGAGACCCACAGACTCGCACAGATAGCCATAGACTCATACAATCGCACATTGACCCATAGACTCTCACAGAGACCCACAGACTCTCATAGAGACCCACCGACTCTCATAGAGACCTACCGACTCTCACAGAGACCCACAGACTCGCACAGACACCCATTCACTCTCACAGAAACCCATACACTCCCAGAGACCCATATACTCGCACAGAGGCCCATAGACTCGCACAGAGCCCATAAACTCGCATCGATACCCATAGACTTTTATTTGAATCCATATACACTACTCACAGAGACCCACAGACTCGCATATATATGCAGAGGTGCTGAAACCCTAAACTAAAAGTTATTTGACCAGGTAAGGCCCACTGAGCGAAGTAGCTCTTTTTCAGATGCGACCTGGCCACAAATGACAGCTCAACGAAGTGGCTTATCACGTGGACATGTGGAGCAGCAGCCAAATACTCTAAACGCGTGATTTTTGATTCTGAATGTGAAGAGAAATACCGGAGCACTCGGATAAAAATGCATGCGACCACGGGGATAAAGAAAAAGAGAGACGCAAACTCCAAATATACAGCAGCAGGCCTCAGGGTCAGGATCGAACCCACGACCTCCTGTAGACCAGGCGAGGTAGTTAACATCTCCTAGCCACCGTGATGATGATGAGAGAGAGACACGCAAACTCCAAATCTACAGCAGCAGGCGTCAGGGTCGGGATCAAACCCATGGCCTCCTGTAGACCAGGCGAGGTAGTTTACATCTCCTAGCCACCGTGATAATGATGAGAGAGAGACACCGCAAACTCCAAATCTATAGCAGCAGGCGTCAGGGTCGGGTTCGCACCCACGACCCCCTGTATACCAGGCGAGGTAGTTAACATCTCCTAGCCACCGTGATGATGAGAGAGAGACACACACGCCGCAAACTCCAAATATACAGCAGCAGGCGTCAGGGTCGGGTTCGCACCCACGACCCCCTGTATACCGCGCGAGGTAGTTAACATCTCCTGGCCACCGTGATGATGATGATGAGAGAGACAGGCAAACTCCAAATCTACAGCAGCAGGCGTCAGGGTCGGGTTCGCACCCACGACCCCCTGTATACCGGGCGAGGTAGTTAACATTGTTTTCGTTTGTCAATCTGACTGTAAGATTGTTGCGTCATCAGTTCACAACTGAGTGGAACGCCAGGTAAGGTTTCGTGACGTGTACCGTTGATGACTTTAGGATGCCTCTCTGGCAACATCTAGAGATCGTGTGCGGTTCGAACTCGGACAGAGACGACCCTGGATTCAGGTGAGCTTGACTCTGCTGCTGATGAGAGACTGAATGTGGAAACCCCGGTCCTTGCCTTTGACATCTGGGGCAGTTTACCAGCATTGATTCAGGCGAGCCTGACTGCTGCTGCTGATGGGAGACTGAATGTGGAAACTGGTACTCGCCTTTGACATCTGGGGCAGTTTACCAGCATTGATTCAGGCGAGCTTGACTCTGCTGCTGATGAGAGACTGAATGTGGAAACTGGTCCTCGCCTTTGACATCTGGGGCAGTTTACCAGCATTGATTCAGGCGAGCTTTGACTCTGCTGCTGATGAGAGATTGAATGTGGAAACTGGTCCTCGCCTTTGACATCTAGGGCAGTTTACCAGCATTGATTCAGGCGAGCTTGACTCTGCTGCTGATGAGAGACTGAATGTGGAAACTGGTCCTCGCCTTTGACATCTGGGGCAGTTTACCAGCATTGATTCAGGCGAGCTTGACTCTGCTGCTGATGAGACTATGAATGTGGAAACTGGTCCTCGCCTTTGACATCTGGGGCAGTTTACCAGCATTGATTCAGGCGAGCTTGACTCTGCTGCTGATGAGAGACAGAATGTGGAAACTGGTCCTCGCCTTTGACATCTGGGGCAGTTTACCAGCATTGATTCAGGCGAGCTTTGACTCTGCTGCTGATGAGACGCTGAATGTGGAAACTGGTCCAGAGTTGTTTGTATTGCTTAAACAACTGTTGCCGCTCCGGGGTGATGCCGGCTTCGTCTGGGAAGCGAATGGAGTCGGTGTACGCACGCTCTTATTATAATTATTTTTAAAGAATTTCGTGTTTTTCTTGGAGGGCCCCAGCAGATGGCGGTCATCGGCCAGGAACGGGAAACGTGGACCCCGGAACGAGTCGCCCGGCTCGGTGGGACGACTACGAACGACTCTGGGAGTGAACTCTCCCCCGCCTCACTCCACTGCTGGCCGAAGGGTGTCCAGTGGAGGCAGCTCGAGTTTGATTTTGTTGAGAGCTGGGGGAGAACTCCAGAGGCCGGGATAGCGGAGTCTCGTTTGGAAGAGTTCAGTGAAATGGGTGGGGTGGATGATTGTGATGGTGAGTGAATGAGTGGGGTGGTGAGTGAGTAGGGTGAATGAGTGATGGTGAGTGAGTGAATGAGTGATATAGTGTGTGAGTGAATGAGTGGGGTGGTGAGTGAGTGGGGTGGATGATTGTGATGGTGAGTGAATGAGTGGGGTGGTGGGTGAGTGGTGAGTGGGTGGTGAGCGAGTGGGGTGAATGAGTGATGGTGAGTGAGTGAATGAGTGATATAGTGTGTGAGTGAATGAGTGGGGTGGTGAGTGAGTGGGGTGGATGATTGTGATGGTGAGTGAATGAGTGGGGTGGTGGGTGAGTGGTGAGTGGGTGGTGAGTGAGTGGGGTGAATGAGTGCTATGGTGGGTGAGTGAATGAGTGGGTGGGGTGGTGAGTGAGATGGTGAGTGAGTTCAGGTCTAGAGTGTATTTTATTTCACCATACTGGGTGAGAACTCCAGAGACCAGGATAGA